TTTTCTCTCCGTCCAAATACAAATTTGCTTTGCGCATGTTAAGTCTCGTAAAATACTATATAAAATTCACTATGTTTTTTTCATCCATAATATTGAATGTGTTAAATTTATTCAACGTTTTAACAAGGAAAATCTTAGGTTGCTGTTTGGCACAAAACATTTGTATTTAAATACATTGAATTTATTTTCAATTTTTCGCTACAGTAGCGGCCATAATATAAGGAACGGAAACAACAAAGACATAAATATGTGTATTACTTAAAAAGTAATGCATGATTAGCAATGAAATTTTTACCGAATAAAGATTATGGTGTAATGCATAAATATTATACAAAGTTACAAAAATTTACATAATAGTTTTTTTTTTTAAATAAAGATTAAATGGAACAAAGGAAAACAGAAAGAACACTTTACTCAGAATCAAGAGAATTAGCTGAAATTCCTTGAACACATGAGCTCTTGGAAAACTTAACCCTCTCGGGGTATAAGTGAGGGCAAGAAATGTGGGGTAAGTCCGCGAGCTCACTTACCTAACGAGTTTGTGCGAATTGATAGTGGGACGGGGGCCTTAACAAAGGGAGAAAAGCGGCTAAGAGCGTCACGACATAGGAAGTTGTGGAGAGTCATGAACCTGAATGGTCGAAGAAGAAGAAATAAAACGTTGCCAACTTTTAACGGATGTTGAGTGATTATCTTACCTGCCATACTATTTAAGTAGCAGAACAAATTCAAAATTTTATCTTATTAATCTCCCGACATTTATAGAATTATTTAAAAAAAAATCTTACGTCATCGTGTAAATAACGTTTTCTCGTCGAATAAAGACAGATAGGATCTGAACAGATAAAACATTTTCCACTCAGAAATCCGACAAAGAGTGGATATATATATATATATATATATATATATATATATATATATATATATATATATATATATATATGTCAGTTTGGATTTGTATAAAACTATCAGTCATACCAAGCTGGTCGATCAGAAAAAGCGTTCAGTTAGAATGGAGTAAAAACAGCATCATGTTTAGATGTAACTTTCATTAAAAAAAAAACATTTTAATTAATGCAGTTACTGATATAAGAGAAGGAGTCTATTTAATCAATCGAAGTTAGCCGATGACATGAAGGAGTAAAACAGGCAGCATGAAGACCCACTTCAGGCCACAATTATTGTGGAGTTTTTGAAATTCAATTTGTCAATGTGCTACCAGGGATGTAAAAGAGGATACATTTATAAAGCAATTGTTAAGTTTGATGAAAATTGATCGACGAAAAATAAGAAAGAAACTAGTAAAAATCGCCATTTTTCGCTATTTACGCTGGTTTTCACTATATGGGTGGACTCAATTATCAAGTTAAATGACTGTTAAACAATAAACTTATTGTTGGCTACAATTGAGTGAAGTTTGTATTAGATTGCTTGAAAATTGAGGGAGATTTTAGTTTAATATTTGTGTTGAAATCGATTTTTCGTTTTTCGCTTTTTTTTCGCGAAACGCAGTGGCGTAGAAATAAAAATGAGGTATTGTTGAGCACGTCATGATGTAAGTGTGCTACATACCGAGTTTGAATGAAATCGGAGAAAAAAGTTAAATTTATCGATTTTTGATCGGCTTTTTTGTTTTTTTTAAAATTATCGATTTTTTACACCATAAACCTATCTCTTACATGGTACAATGTATGTGCCAAGTTTGCTCAAAATCGGTTGGATGGATCTTGAGTGAAAAGGTATCACACAGACAGACATCCAGACAGACATCCTCCATATAGATTAAGTGAATTATTTTATCATATACAGGGTGACCCCGCCCCCAAAATGATATAATTTAAATTGTGAATATCTGAGTAATTACATGTCCCTGGCAAGCGAAATTAAAATAGGCTTCATGTTGAATAATAAATGATTTATTTATCAAAATTTGAACAAGATATTCAGAGGGATATAAATTTTATAACCGATTTCACAAAGCTTCACAAATGTTCAATATGCACACCACCTTTGACAGGACACACGCCAATTCGGTAGTCCAGCTCTTGCCAAACACGTTGTAGCATATCTGGCGTAACATTCTCCAATCCAAAGTGTCGTTCGAGGAATCTGGGTTTCAGACTTTCTGGGGCTTCGCACAAATGTTTTCCGAACCTGATTGACGATTTCTTACGATACTGGTAGTCGTCTTTTAGCATCCTGCTATCACCTTTTTTATCAACATTAATTTTTGTACAAAAAGTAGATCACAGAGCTTATTCAGCTTAATAAATATTTTCAGAAAACCTCAACTTCTGATTGGCCACTTAATATTTAAATCATGCCCGAATATCAATATCAATTTTCGTACAAAAGTTGATCACAGAGCTTATTCAGCTTAATGTATATTTTCAGAAAATCTCAACTTCTAATTGGTCACTTAATATTTAATAACATCGACCTAGTTCTTGACCTGACCAAAAAGATAATTCCACCAAAATCTATCAAGCGTCTGTGAGCCTATCACGTGACCAAAGTTAGCAATAAAATATGAAACGTCTTTCAATCTTCGACAGTGCACCGATCGGAATCCTTTGAACTCGTCACACAGTTCCAGGCTTTACGTTAAAGTTCCTTAACATGATTCCAGCCTGAGAGAACACTCATTCACACAGCAATATTTTATGACGAACAATCAACTCAAGTTTTCTACATTCTACTTAATACACGAATCTTTTTCATACGCTTGTTATAGACAAGCGTATGGTTGCAAGAAAGAAATACGACAACAGTAGAAATAGATTTACGTGGTTTATTTCAACAGGAACGTAAGGGTTTAGGACAGCTACCTTGGTGTGGTAAAGTTCATAAGCCGGCTTTCGGATCTAGGTGGATCTCTCATAGTAGTTCACACATGTTGACGGTGATTGACGCTCTCCTGCTGACAGCTGCTAAACGTGACCGGTCTCCTTTGTGGCCACCTGTTGACTGCCGCTGAACTTCCCTGTGACCCTTTTTATAGCGTCTTTTATGGCTTAACAGGCTCGAGAAATGAAGCGAGTATAATTAGGAGGGAAGCATTTTTATTGGACGAAAAATAGAGCACTTTAAATATTATTTTATTTTTTGACCGGAACACGTGTGTCGGAAACATTTGTGAAGAAAGATAATGGTCATTTTGTGACGGGGCTTTGTCCCATTCACATCCGGTTCTCGCTTTTGAGTATTTGCCTGTAAATCAGCCGAGATATGTCATTTTATTTTATAACAGCTCAACGTTAATTATTGCAATTAACATAAACACAGCTTGTTAAGAACTACTTCCCCCAACTAGAATATTCTCTTCGAACAGGTGAAAACAAATCAAAGAGCAACAATTCCGTAAACCTTAAAGTAAGTCGTAAACAATATTTCTCTATTTCAAATACAAACTTGAACTGTTTATTTTTTTCTTAAATTACAATAATACCCAAACACACTTTCTCATTATTGTACAGACCATTCAACAAATTATAATCTATGGATGTTATGGCTATTAGTGCTGGGTTGATTCTTTCACCTAAACATCCAAAACTTGTTGAATTACCTTCGTCGCTGAAATAAATAAAGAAAAGGCGGAAGGATACGGAGACACTAGAGGGACAGTTTAAGGACATTGATTTTATTTCCTTTTTTTTTGGATTTCAACGACCTCTTGTTGGGGAATTTCCTTCCCGAACAGTTGGCACGTGTTCACCAGTCAAGGTCCAACAGAGAAAGAGAGAGATTCTTCTAGTTTATTTTTCGGCGCCAGGAAATTTTTTTTTTTTTTTTTTTTTTTTTGCACATGCGTAAATTGTCTTTCCTGTCAGAGGACTCCTGGGAGGTTTTTATGTTTATTTTATTTTGTACTTTTATTTAATTTTGTATTTTTATTTTATTTCGTGTTTTTATTTTATCCCCACAAATCTATCAAACCAGAACTTTGATAACTTTTCATCTAAACATAAAAGGACGTTTGAACATTTTAAAACTACCTTTTTACTCCAATTGTTTGTACCTCTTTGTTATATAAATATTTTATTCATTGTTCTGCAAAAACTGTTGTTTCTCATGTTGTCCTTATTCTATGTTTGTTGAATACTGAAATTTAATGTAAGAGGAAATTGTTAATTTCATCACGCAGCCTAATTTACTCAACATATTCATATAATTTAATTAATTAGCACAACCTCCACAGTCTAGATCCCTTTGACATGCACAGACAGCCTTCTTCTTTGAATTTTTTATGCCAAATCTGCTTTCCAGTTGGCGCATTCTCCTTGAATTTTCTCGAAAATTCACGCTGTACAGTCTTGTTTGACTGTATTCAAGCATATTCTAACATATAAGATGTCTTTTCATTTTTAGTGCAGGGAGTTCCATGAGCGCGAATTGCGAGAGAAGAAACTGCTAGCAGAAACTGTGAGTACAATTCTAACTGAATATCTCAAATTTCAGTCTTGTACCAGCTTAAGTTTATCAAACGTACGCTGCATTCGTATGTGGGACCGTTGCATATTTTTCACCGGTGCCCCTAATCGAGGATCGAAGCCAGATAAAAAGTAAGATTTTGCATGCTAACTTTTAAACGACGCAGTGCAATCTTAGTATCTCCATTAGAAGCAAAGAGTTAAATGAAGACTGTTGCGTTTTGCAATATCCGGTAGATGACATGGATGGAAAATGGAGCGGACAGATTTGAAAAAGGAAGCGTTATTTGGCGCAAAGATTTATAGATGTCCGGTAACATCAGTAGAAATCGTATAATGTTGTTTGTTTCATCTGTGTCTGCTGTAAATCAAAAAGGGAGGTAGTAATATTAGCTCATAATATATCTATAAACAGGAAGAAGAACTACTACTACTACTACTACTACTGATAAACAATCTTTCTGTCTTATCATTTCTTCTCCTTCCTCGCTATCTTTGTATTCTTTGTGTTCTTTCACTCTTATACTTTGATGTCTTTACTTTAACCTTCTCTCTTTTTTCTTTTTATACATGTTTCTTTCTTTCTTTCTTTCTTTCTTTCTTTCTTTCTTTCTTTCTTTCTTGTTTCCTTTCTTTCTTTTTTCTCTTCTTTCCTTTCTTCTTTCTCTTCTTTCCTCCCGACTTTTCTTTTTCTTTCCTTGCTTTCTTTCCTTCTTTCTTTTCTACTTTTATTTCGACTTTATTCTTCTTTCTTTTCTTCTTTTTCCCTGCTTTCTTTCTTTTCTTTTTCCTTTCTCTCTTTCTTTTTTTCTTCTTTCCTTTCTCCTTTCTCTTCTTTCTTTGCTACTTTTCTTTTTCTTTCATTTCTTTTTCTTTCTTTCTTTATTTTCTGCTTTCTTCTTCTTTCTTTTCTTCCTTCTTCTTTCGCTTCTTTTTCTTTTTTTCTCTACTTCTTTTCTTATTTCTTTCATTCTTTGCTTTCTTCTTGCCTTTCCTTCTTTCTTCGTTCTTCCTCCTTTCTTTCTTTTCTTCTTTCCTTTCGGCTTTCTTCTTCCTCCTTCTTTCTCTTCTTATTTTTTATTTCCCTCTTTCTTATTTATTTTATATTTTGCTTTCTTCTTTCTTTCATTTCTTCTTTCTTTACCTCTTTCCTTTCTACTTTCTTTTCCTTTCATTAATTCTTTTCTTCTTATTTTTCTACTTTACCTTCTACATCTTTTTTTCTTCTTCCTTTCTTTCTTTCTTTCTTTATTTTCTCTTCTTTCTTCTTCTCTTTCATTTATTCTTTCCTTTTTCCTCTTTTCCTTCATTTTTTCTTTATTCTCTTTCATTTCTTCTTTCTTTCCTTCTTTTCTTCTTTCTTTCTTTCTTTCTTTTTTTGCTTTCTTTCCTTCTTTCTTTTCTACTATAATTTCTACTTTCTTCTTTCTTTTCTTCTTCTTCCATCTTTCCTTCTTTCTTTTCTTCTTTCTTTTCTTCTTTCTTTTCTTCTTTCTTTTCTTCTTTCCTTTATATTTATTTCCTTCGTTCTTTTCTACTTTCTTTATTTCGTTCCTTTTTTCTTTCTTTCTTTCAATCTTTTTTTCTTTCTTTCTTTCTTTTTTTTTCGGTTGCATATGTGCAGTTAGTGAAACGGTTGTCGGTATTGAATGTGGAACCAGGTACGTAAATATGTCGTAAAATTAACCAATCTAATAATCTTTTAATACTAAAGTTTCTCCAATATAAAGCTCGGGTGCCATTCAAGATAGTGTGTGCTGTGCTGATTGGACTTCTTTCTGTTAACACTAGATAAAATGACACTGATCCTCAAATCTCGCTCAACTAACCAAGGAATTGTAAACCACCAGAAAGAGGCAAATGTCTAGGTCTAACGTAATAAACCTGCCTGTTGCAGTTATGTCCTGTCTCCCCGGTGGTTCTGACCGAAAAAGAAATCCACCCGATCTTTCTCCGGTGAACTGAAGGAACCACCACTATTCGCCACGTTGTGAATTCTTGATCCGAACATCAGTGTATCGATCTCCCCATAACGATCCGGTGGGAAGGGGAGGAAATGGCTGGGTATTTCGCTGAAAGGAAATCACTATTCATGTAGCAAAAGTTTCTCATCGTAACCGCAAACACATGAAAAAGAAGAAAAAAAAGCAACTCCTGTTTCTGTAAAAAGGGCCCTATTTAGGCCACTGTTTTTATGTCTCTACCGAAGAATTTACACGAGTACAAAATGTCGTAACGAGATTCACTCGTTTGGGTCGGAAAGTCACAGAAAGAGAGTAGGAAAATTTCTGTCTAAACAATTTCGGCTGATCTAAGGGAAGTAATTCGTGGATCTTCGTCTGCACCCTACGATATAGCAGTCTGCTTTCTCGCAGCCTTGTTGACGAAGTTATCTGGATTCGTACGGGTTCTATTTCGATCTCTTGGTTTGATTCGGTCTTCTTGACACTTTGGAATTATTACATGTAATTAACTAATAACTCAACCCCAGAAACAATTATTAAGAGAAAAAAAAAAACAGAAAAAAAATAAACTTATTTCTGGAATTACTCCGGAATCCCTTCTACCCAAGTAATTAGCACCTTCATCCTAATTCTTTAGCACTGTTGATTACTAAATCCACCTCGGGGTGGGGTCTGTCTGTCTGTCTGTCTCTCTCTCTCTCTCTCTCTGTCACATAGGTGAACAGCTAAAAAGAGATTGTTGGTAATAGGTTTTGAATCAAGAAGTTGAGTAAAACAAACACAATTATATATGTTTAATTTTTATTCGGTTCATGAGTTTATCACGTCAATTATCACGGTCCTTTAATAAGGTCGGAGGGTCATGAGGGAGGTTCTGTGTCATAACATATCTGGTCAATGTAGGCGGTTTCTGAACAACCAACTCGTCTTTCTCCGTGACTGGGTGCCTAGAGCAGTAGATCACTCACGAGTTCTTGATTTGCTCGCTAGCATTGTCCTGCAAAGCGCAAACTGCATCCGCGTAAGATTGTAGAAATATCAAGGATGGATCCATAGAGCCGTTATTTAGTTGGACGTTGTCTCCAAGAGATGTTAAGTATAGATCTCAGCAACCAAGTGTAGGTTCCATCAAGTGTATACTCTAGGGTTTAAGATTGTAGAAATATCAGGGATGGATCCATAGAACCGTCATTTATTTGCACGTTGTCTCCCAGAGATGTTAAGTATAGATCTCAGCATCCAAGTGTTGGTTCTATCAAGTGTATACTCTAGGGTTTAAGATTGTAGAAATATCAGGGATTGATCCATAGAACCGACATTTAGTTGGATGTTGTCTACAAGAGATGTGAAGTATAGATCTCAGCATCCAAGTGTTGGTTCCATCAAGTGTATACTCTAGAGTTTAAGATCGTAGAAATATCAGGGATGGATCCATAGAACCGTCATTTACTTTAATTTTTTCGATGCACCTTTAATTTTTTCGGGGCATCTTTTCTACTTCCGGCTGTATTCTGTTGTTCTATAGTTTATTTTTTGGCCGATCCTAGATATTGAGAAAGCAAGTCTGCAGCCAACTATCCAACTTTCTATGACTTCTCCATTAAATGTGGCGTTACACAGTTGGAGTAGAATATCACAGAAATCATTGAGTGTTCGAGCATTGAATACTGCAGCTACCTAGTCTGGACTCTTCAAGATTCGAGATTCTTAACAAAAGTCAAAGAAGGGTCTGTCATGTAATCGATCATGACGGGACATCTCGACTTCCGTCACTTTCTCGCCGACGTCGCATGGCTTCCCTCTGTCTTTTCTACAAATATTTTTGATGAGCGGAAAGTTTTTCACCCAGGAGGTTGTTTTTGTTGAGATAATCAACAACCTTCTTGTTGATAATAGACGCAAGGAGTTTGATGATGTGACTCGACTACATGAATTTAGATTGGCCTCACTGTTTTACTATTGAACTAGCCAGATGCAACCATATGTTCTATTCTAACAGTTTTTTTTCTCGTACTTCTTGCCTGTTGGTTGGTTTCTTGGTTGATTTTTAGTGACATATCAATACCTCTATGGATTATTTAATGCCGAAATCTAAATATTTTGAACACAATTTTATGGCTTCAACTAAAAATATTTTGAACGCAATTGCATGCCTTCTACTACAGATAACATGTATTGTTGGTCATTTTGCTATAAAGTGTATTGTTGGTAATTCTACTAAAAAATTGTATTGTTGGTCATTTTGCTTTAACATTGTATTGTTGGTAAATTTACTATAAATATGTATTCTTGCTAATTCTAAAATAAAATGTATTATTGGTAATTATTTTATAAAAATGTATTGCTGGTATTTTTACTATAAAAATGTAGTTTTTTTTCTTTGAGGGTTCATATTAGTTGGGATCATAGCAGGTGCTACAACCCGGGCCAGAGTGAACCTGGGAATGACAGCAATTGAGAGGTGTGTTATGATTCATGATGATGATCATATTTCATCATTCTAGAAATAAAGATCTGAAAAAAAAAGCATCATTATAAAAACAACCTTTCTACCACAACCAAAAGTAGCAGTAGTAAAAAGAACAACACAGACGTATCTTCTAGGCTCCGTGAAAAGAGTTGACGGCTTCAAAAGCTTCCCTTAACCACGAAATTCTCGGAACAATTATAAACAAGTAATCCCAAACTTTAAAGAAACAAAAAAGACAATAATTCCGAGAACATTTAATACACACAAAAACAATATTATAACTAACGTCATGAAAAGAAAAAAACACATTCTTGTCCTTAATTTCAACATATATTTCAAAGTCTTCTTCTTGTATGTTATTATTGTACGTTTTATTTATTTCATTTTAAGTATATAAAAGGAATCCGCTATCAGCTACTAATACATATAACACGGGGTAACTTACATTAACAACTCAACATCAATCCCGTTACAAGTAGTTCCACGTTCCTTAAAAACCTCAAATTAGAGGCCTTGCTGCCGGATGTAGTTTATCGTTATACCCAGAACTTTCTTGCCTTTGGAATTTCTTCCAATTTCTTGTTTCTCGGACACCTCAGTCAGTCTGTTATGTACCATGCGTGATACACGCTTAGGCGATCATGTATTTTTCGATACATGACTGACCAGGCAGATTTTTCCCGCAGTAGGTTGCCATTTCTTTCTGCGGTAGACCAATTGCCATCCAAGGCTGTAGAACCCGGTTTGTCCTTCTATTTACCCATAGCTGGGGGGAGAAGAAGAGGATTCACATCTTTCCCAAAAGTATTAACACATAAGTGAATTTCAGTCAGTTATGTGCCATGCGTGATACACGCTTAGGCGATCATGTATTTTTCGATACATGACTGACGAGACAGATTTTTTGCCATATATGGTTGTAGAACCCGGCCTCTCCTGCTATTTACCCATAGCTGGGGGAGAAGAAGACGATTCATACCTTTCTCAAGAGTATCAGCACGTAAGTGAATGTAATGGATTCGACTGGAATTCGAACTCGGCTCTCCGATTCCTCAATCCGAGCCGCTATCCATCACTCCTAACCGTGCCGCTCCGACACCTACAATCTTGAAAAATTGAAATGTAACGCCAATCGCTATTTTCTGTCTTTCTGAATTTTGTCCTTTTTTTTTTGTCCTTTCTCTTTACTAAAGTTTTCTCATTCTGTTTCACTCTGGTTGCAATATCGCATTGCTTGGGGTAAAATGATGAAAAGACAAAGATCCTAAATGCCCTAGTTTTAGCATTAAACTACAGGTATAGATGATTGATTCATGTCATTTTAACGTGTAATGAGAAAATAGCGAGAGGTCTGAGCAATGGAACCGGATTCTTAAGACCGCGACAAAGACGACGACGAGGATTCCATTTGTCGCCTTTCTGGAGCGCCCGTCGGCAGGACAGGAAAATACTCATAAATCAAGAGATGTTGTCAACACCTTTTAGGAGAATAAAAAGTATGGCGTATCGGTAGCCGTTAAAAAGGGCGTCTGGGAACGATTTGAAAAAACTTTTCAAGCTCCATTGCTTATATAAGGTGAAAAGGGAAGTAAATTTTTGGAGGTGTTAGGGTTCTTCTTCTGTGTACCGTGACCCTAAAGGACGCAGGTGATCATAGCTCTCCACTACTTCTTACCCCTTGCAGCTGTTAGTATCGTTTGTTTTTTTGTTTTTTTCGCCATCCCTCTAACTGCTATCCAATCTCACAAACTGCCTATCTTTATCCCTTTTGCCATCTATGCCTTGTGTGTATCAAATTCCTCAAGCTGTCTTTCCTTATTATTTATACAATAAACTTCGGTTGTTTCTTCCTCATTCTAAGTTCATGGAATTTTCAGCAGCCTTCTGTAGAACCACATATCTATTGCATCCAGTTTTCTCTTTATCTGTGGGGTGATTGTCCAGCATTCACTCCCATATAAGAGAATTGATATTACATAATAGTTCAGTACTATTTTCTTTGTTTCTAAAGTAAGGTCACATCATTTTACAGATCAATTGACTAGATGTAACCGTAAGTTCTTTGCTAACAGTTTCTTTTCTCGCACATCACGTCTGTGGAACACCGGATTCTTGCTTTCCAGTTATCTTTGGTATTCAAAAATTTAAATGCAATGTAAATCGCTATCTGCTGTCTTCTTGATTCTGTTGCATATAGCTGCTGGTTTGATTTCGTTTGTTTTACGGCATATAAAACTTAATGGGTT